AGTTACTGTTGGGAATTTGCTAATTACACTATGCCCATGCACATGTTGCACTAACGATTAACCTCATAAAATGTAGCAAAGGGTTATGCGTGCGTTTAGAGCTGCTGATTTTACTGTGAGAGAAGGTTCAGGGTGCAACAGTCTGAGAGGAGATTAAAAAAAGAATCCTTCCAGCAAAGTCTGGTTTTCGAAAACAAAGAATAGAAAAACCTCAATGAGTAAACAGTTACTACATAAATATCTTTGTGTTGTTTTCATCCTCAGGCCTTTGGACATGTGTCAAACGTGGTCACCTGCATTAAAAAAAATTGTATTTACATGATTGAAAAAGACTTGTTCCTCAAGGCGTTTGTTGTTCTACGATCTCTACTGGACTTTTCTCTATTAATGCCGCCATAACACGTTGAATTGGAAGTGAGCTTTGCCAAAGGCACTGAAATCCAAGTCCATGGATTTGGAACTGGATGCTTTTCTGCTCTGTTTCTTCCAACAAAATACCGGAATTCTGATATATCTGACCACAGTCTGCTTTCCACTGTGATGGTTTGTACCAAATGCCTCTGAGCACAGAGAAGTGGACTCCACTTCTGACCAGGGTTAACATAAGACTCATTTTTTTTCTTTTCACAGTGAAGTTTGAAGCGGCATGTGTGTAATTCTGCTTGACTGCATTTCCAGAAGTAATCTCTCCATGTGGTTCTGTCAACTATCGAGGAACAAAGAACTGTCTGGGGCATTCGAGATGACGCATGTCCAGCTAAGAGCTGTTCTCAAAAAATACCCTCGTGTCCTTGACAAGTCTTAAGATATTTTTTAACTGTAAAAGGAATATGCACATTCATGTTAATATTTCTTGAGGAAATTGTATTTCCTAAAAAAGAAAATAAAGATGATAGCAAAAACTTTACTCTGATTATATTGTCTGAAAATTAGCAGCAAAGTTCAATGCTCACCGAGTTGTCTACCCAGGCATACCAATATGTTTTAAATCACATAGTAAGCCTGAACTACTTCTTCAATATAAATATACAAAATTTGTATTAAGGTCTCGGCATCATAAATGTATGCTTTTGTCAGTATTCTGTAAAAATCTAAAGGTTTAAGTACCTATTCTGCATATTTTTAGCTCTTCCTATTTTGGTTTTTGCATAAGCTAAATCTAACATGCTGTAAACCAAAACTGCCTCCTACATTTCTTCAATTATTGTCTTTGTTTCGCCTCTTCGGCTCCGACGCCCATCAACTTCAGCTGACTTGTAGTGTACAGGAAAGAAAAGAAACCAGCCAACGCATTAGGATTCAAAGAAGGGGCAGTGGCGAAAGTTCAGAGGCAAACGAGACTTAATGCTCCCCTGAGGCAACCGACATGATTCAAACAGAAAGCTGCTGCTGGCCTTCTGCTACAACTCAATAATCAATCTGAGGCCTTTACAGCGGTAGAAATGGATCCATAACGCATCCACATGAACTCATCTGTGTCTCTGTAAACACATTACAGGTGAGACTTAAAGGGGTTGAAAACTCAGGAGATAAATTTGAGCCACGATGTGGAAAATATTGGTTGGAGTCAGAGGATTGCTCAGTTAATGCCCCGCTACAGAGGAATGACTGAAATCTTTCAACAACAGGAAGTGATGAGAAATAAAGGGAAGAGATGTGTGATATAAAAAGATGAGCAGGATGAAAATGGCTGTGGACGAGATAATTAGATTAAGCACAATAAAGACAGATGATGAGGATGAGAGGGATAATAGAGTGCCTCATTGAGGCATGAGGAGCATTAGGGTTATTAAACAGCATCAAAATGAGAAATAGCAGGAAGGAATGTGATCAGAAAAGGTAAAAATGGTGATGAAGAGGTTAAGTGGGATTAATAGTTATAAGATTGATCATAAAAATGGATGAATGCCATTATGATGATGAAGGTCAATAAACAGGAATGAGGGCCACAATGAATATTGAAAACTGTCTCTAAAAAGGGATGAAGAGAACATCTGGGATGAACAGTAAACATTAAGAGGAATAAGGATGATTAGTGTGATTAAAATACATCTGAATCAGAGAGACGAGAAAGACAAATGTGAGGAACAGGGAAGAAGAGAAGGAAGCAAAAACAGATATTAAGGTTTGGAATAAATGTGGTGAATAACACTAATGTGATCAAAACAAGATTGTAGGAGGATGATTGTGTTTGGGAGGAATGAGGAGAGAAAAGAGATGATAAGAATGATAAAGATTGATTTATATTGGGATGAAAGGGGATTGCAAGGAGTGATGAGGAGGATGTAATGGATAATTATATACATATGACAATAAGGATCTGGAAAACAGAGTTTTATTGAAGACTTAGGGGGAATAGTCGAACACAATAGACGATGAATTGTAAATACAAAAAATTGTCATGAACCACACAAAAATCTGTCTATATAGGCCAGGGTAATCAGGAGTCATAAGAAAAAGTGTTATTTTTTTTTTATTTTATGAATTTACAGTTTAATAAAAATGAACATGTCACATGTTGATACGAATAAAAGTTTTGAATGAAAAAGAGTAGTTGAAAGGACTACCACTTACATGTGACTGTGTCATGTGAGGAGGACCAGAGTTGCAGAGATACGAGAGAACATCAGGTTGGACCAAACATTCTTGGGCTCGTCATGTGGAAAAACCTGCCATCCTCAGAGAATTTTCACTTCCCCAGCATCCTCCCAGAGGGAGCAGTGTTTCAGTCAGCTCCGCCTCAGTAAATCCCTCATCAGGGAGCTGACTAATGCTCTACAAAGAAAAGATCTGATCTTACAATATAGCATGTAAAAAATTTTGTGGGACTTGTCATTTTGTTTGGCAAAACAAAAAATAAATCCTCTGGTTTTTGACAGAGATTTTAATAATAAACCCATTTTGTGTAAAGACCCGGCTAGCAGTAAAGCAAGGTGGTGAGAGAAACATTCTGTGGGTCCTTTATAGTCTCCATCTGAAAGAAAATGCTGATTCTTTTCTTAATGTACAGACTCCCGAGCAGCTCCTTTTGTGCTCTTGTCAGGCAGCGGAAAGACAAATATAAGTGAGCTGATTTCACCGGGCTGGACTCCGGTTAGATCCATGAAAAAACTTCAGCCAACTACATTGTCAACACTTTCTGACATTTGAGGTGAATTTGACATTAGAATAACATGCTGAAGGATTCAGTACTTACAGTCAGAAAAAAAGAGAAACAAAGAAAAGTGGAGGTGTAGGTCCAAAAAAAAAAAAAAAACAAAAAAAACAAATCACAGTGAAAGGTGAGTCTGAAAGCCTTTGGATTCTTGGCAGGTCCCCCAACACACACCAACTGCTCTGAAATGTCACAGTATGCTAATGATTCATTATTATAACTGGCTGCTCTCAATGCAATGTTCACTCTGAAACCATGAGGGGCATTTTTTCCATGCTTGGGACTTTAAATTTAAATCCTCTTATACTTTAACTCATCAGTGTGAAGTAAATGTTTATTACGCGAAGGGAAGGCTGTGCAAAGAGGACACCATCAGCATTTAGATTGCTTTCATCAGGGAGATCCGATTTCCACTGGGGATAAAATCTCTTGGGAAAATTAATTCAGTAAAAGAAAGAGGGCAGGACTGATGTTTTACCTTGGAGCTACAGGTACAACTGAATCTATATAACTGGATCATTTATTGATATTTCCTATAAGTGAATTTGATAAAATTGTTTTATAAAATGCCTTGAAATAATATTGGCACAAAAGAAATAAATGGTTATTAATGACATGGGTTGTAAATGTAAAAGAGGAACAGTAGTGCTAATTTACTGAATGCACAAAAATATATTCATGAAAAATAAATCTATTTTTTCAATCAAAATCCCAACTTCTTTCAAGCTGACATGCTGAAAGTACTGCTGAGATGCATGCACTGGAACAGAAACTGGAGCACACATTCTTAGTCAAGAATAAAATTGATTCTTAATAGTAAATAAATAAAATAGACATCAAAAGTAAATAAATAAAAACACAAAAAAGAAGTAGACGAAATATAGTCATCACTGAAACATTTTTAAACATATGCAGAAAATAATACTTAAATCAATAATAAATAAAGTTATAAATAAGAAAGTAAATAAATAAAATAACCAAAAAGCAAGAAGAAATAAGTGAATAATAATGAAATCAATGACATGTCATCATTTCCAATATGTCAGTGATTGCTATTATTTTATCAAGAACAAATATTTATAAAACAAACAAACAAAAAACAAATGCAAAATTTTCCTTTTAAAAGATCTTTCATTAAATCTACAACATACAATCAGCATCACTTTCAACTTGATGTGTCTATTGATCCTGAGCAAATACTGGCACCCTGTGGCGATTTGTGGGTATTGCACCAAGCTGAGCAGTTACCCTTCATCCTGTTCCTATTACACCTGTGTCAAACAATACATCTTTTTTTTGTTTTGTTTTTTGGTGTGACTTGATCAGAATTAAGGGAACAGTTGCATGTGCTGCTTCAGAAAACGATCTAAATTTCTATGCCCAATTCTACATATGGTGAGATTTATCTCAGAAAGAGGACAAGAGAAACAGGTTTCACTGCATGCTTTCTGCAGCTGGATGCTGCTGCACCAATCAGATTCATGAGATAAACCAACAACACAGTGGAAAAACCTGTCAGTGTGTCAGTTGGTGTTTCCAAACAAATGACCGAAAAAGCAAATAATCATTGTGTTGCAACTGTTCAGTCAGAGTCCAGGTCTCAGCCTGATTGTGACGCTGGAGAGGATTCATCACAGAATTACTGCCTGCAAAACTTTAAAGAACTGTGTCCCTCAGCCTACCTTTGCCTGACTCCCTGTTCAGTTTTGCAGAGCTGAAAGGTTCTCAAACATCTTCTTCAACCTGATTTTCATGTTGTGTTAAGATCGTAGAAAGGAATGTTTCCAGCTCATTCAGCTCTACAAACATACAAATCCAGTCTTGTTTCAAGATACAATCCTTTAGCCCAGTTTAGTCTGACCTGAGGCAAACATAAGCCACCACGTTTTAGGTGTGAAATGGGAGCTTTATCTTTATCAAAATCTGGTTAGTCTTTTTTTTTTTAAACAGTTCTTTTTGTTTTTTCCTTGTGACTTCGTCTTATTTTCAGCTAAAAAAAGATACAAAAGGAACGCCCACTTGGAGGTAACTAAGATTGATCAAGTGTGAGGAAGACAGGCACATTCAAAAGAAGACAAAGAACGGAAGGGACAGCAGGAACTTTCAACATGTCCGGGGCAAAATTTGCTGGTAAGAGAAGATTCTGAGGAATTTCATTTTTTTTTGCCTTTGGTTTAGGAGAGCAGGCTGACATTCTTGACTAAGAATGTGTGCTCCAGTTTCTGTTCCAGTGCATGCATCTCAGCAGTACTTTCAGCATGTCAGCTTGAAAGAAGTTGGGATTTTGATTGAAATTAATCATGCTGGTTTAATGGTAAATCTAAAAATATATGAATTGTTTATGTTTGAACTTCTAACCAACACTATGATCTGCAGACGTACCTGAAGATCAAGACCAAAAGAAATATTGTTGTCTGATTTATCTTTTGGAAGTTGATAAATTTCCAAAAGATGTTTGAAATTTAAAGTTTGTCTTTAGAAAAAAAAAATGGTTTGAATTGAAACTCCAAATAGATTTTTTGAATTTTGCTAATAGCACAACTCACTTGTTTGGAGAAATAAGTATGTTTTATTCAGACTACTGTTACTAATCATTAAGCACAAGATTTTAAAGGAAAAAAGAACCCCACAAAAAACATCTCAAAATTTTAGCAGAAAAACTGAAAGGAAAGTGAAGCCTTTTTTTTAATCAAATGTCCAGATTTAGAGTCTATTTTTAGACATTCTTTCTGTTTCAAAAAAACAAACAAACAAAAAAACCCAAAGGTCTCAATGTCAGCATGACACAGCATTTTTGTGGCAGTGACTCAGAGATTTGAAAGTTGAAGATCCAGCTCATAGATAGAGAAACAAACAATGGGTTAGCCAAAACAAAAATAGTTGTTATAAAATTTGCTTAAAAACAAACCTCATGAAGTGCTTTTCAAATATATCTTATTTTAAATCCAACCTTTAAAGACCCAGAATTATGATTATTTTTTACTTTGATGCACCTAAGTTGATACTAATCAACCTACATGACAATATAAAAAAAGCGAGAAAACCAACAAAGAAAAACATAATACCTGCATATAAATAGGAATAATACTTAAGAAAGGTAGTCACTGATAAAAAGTTAATTGTTTTAACCTGCAAATGTTATTTCTGGTGTTATATTGGCAGAGTACTATCACGTTGGAGATTTCTTCTGGTGTGTGCACAGTGCAGCCAACAGTGCAGCACTATTATGATGAATGGTGTATTTCTATCCAACAGGGTTCACAAGCGGAATAGATCCAAGGGAGAGAAGAATTATTCTAGTCGGGAAGACTGGAGTTGGGAAGAGTGCCACAGGAAACACCATCCTTGGGAGGGAGGCTTTTGAGTCAGACCTGTCTCCATCTTCTCTGACGGCAGAATGCCATAAAGCCAGGGGGGTCGTCAACGGTTCAAATGTGGCCGTTATTGACACTCCAGGCTTGTTTGACACAGACTTTACTCAAGAGGATGTGTTGAAGAAAATCAAGATGTGCATCTCTCTGTGCGCTCCGGGTCCTCACGCCTTCCTGGTGATTCTTGAGTTGGGCAGGTTCACGCAGGAGGAGAAGGATACCGTCAAGATGATCCAGGACACCTTTGGAGAAGATGCTCAGAGGTACACAATGGTGCTGTTTACTCATGGAGACCAGCTGAAGAATCAGACCATTGAAGGCTTTATTTCAGAGAGCTCCGACCTGCAAGCCCTGATTCACAAGTGCCAGAGCAGATACCACGTCTTCAACAACGAGATCAAAGATCCAAAGCAGACCTACTTGCTTTTAGACAAGATTGAAGAGATGGTTGCGGCCAATGGCGGAGGGTACTACACAAATGAAATGTTCGAAAAAGCAGAGGCCGCCATATTGAAGGAAAAGGAGCGAATACTTAAGGAAATGGAAGAACAGCAGAAGAGGGAGCTGGACCAGCTCAGAGCCAAATACAGTGAAGCCATTTACCGCAGAGAGGAGTCCAAGGTGATTATCCACTATCACCAGGAGGCACGCAAACGAGCTGAGAGGTCAAACGAATTCCTCGCCGCACCAACAATTGCTGTGGCCACGACCTGCGGCGCCGCCATTGGAGGTGTGCTGGGTGTGATTGGCGGACCAGTCGGAGTAGCAGTCGGGATCGCTGCTGGTGCTGCAGTTGGAGCTGCTGTCGGAGCTTTGACAATATCAGTTAGCAAAAACTGTCACATTCAATAACACAAGAGGGTCAATTCAGCTCTCAGTCTGGCTCTGATTAATGTAGAAATACATCGAGCTTTCATCAGCTTCTTTTCTGTCAGCTTGATTTTGCATAGATTAAATCAGAAAACAAACATGCTTGATAGGATAAAAATAGGTTTGTCTAATTAAATGCTACATTCCTGTTTATTCCTGAAAGGAAATGCTATAAATGAGTATAAATTGTTTTTTAATTGTCTGGAAGACTGCTGAACTGTAACTTGTACTGCGGCTGTATGTAATCCTGTTCCATATATTGAGAATTCTCTAAAAACAAGGGATCCAAATCTTGGGAAACTGTACATTGTCTCTGAAATCAAGTCACAAACATTAGTCCAGTGATAAATAGTTTTATTATGTTTTTCTATGTAATGTGAAATAATTATGATTTTTTTTTCACTTTTTTCTTTTATTTTGAAAACTGTAACATTCTGACATTTTACAAATTAGAAATAAAGAAGAAAATGACATGAAAATAAAAGTCTCCTTTCTATTTTAAACAGCAAAACTATCCTGCTTTCGTATTGATTTCTTTCACATTAATAATCCCAGTCTGATTCATGGTCTCAACATACAAGCTTCTAAATTTGAGGTTTTGTGGCTGGTTTTTATTCTGATATACTGACTGCTGGTGACTTTTTTTGTTTTGCTTTTGTAGGTCAGTTTGGCTTTCTTTTTTTTATTATTTTACATAAATAAAGATACATTTTTCACCATGATGCTCCTGTTTTCAGTTTCTTTTTAATCTTACATATATGTATTGTAACCTAGTCATTTAAGAAGAAGTATTTCATAAATTAGAACAGATGGTAAATCTATCTTATTTATTATTTTCTGTAACCTAGAAATTATATTTTACTGACTTTCTGTGCTTCTACAGAGATTTTATTTTAGCTTGAGTCCCAACTGGTTTTCAGCACTGAGGTTGTTCTGACTGGTGTCCAGTCTTTTGACAACTTTGAGCCATCCTATTCAAAATGTTCCACATTATGTTAGTCTCATGCTGTCCTATTTGCTAAAGATTATAGTTCAGTGATAAAACTGTTTTGTTAGATTTGAGACTCTCATACAGAATCATCATCAACAAAAAAAGGCACCAAAGTTGTTGCTGTGTTTGTCTGCAGGAACTAAGAAGAAGAAGAGCAGCGAGGACACGCTCCGGATTGTAATGCTGGGGAAAACTGGAGAAGGGAAGAGTGCCACAGGAAACACCATCATAGGCAGGGAAGTGTTCCAGTCACTGGCATGTCCATCTTCCTGGACACTTGATTGTCAGAAGGTTGATGGGGAGGTTTTAGGCCGAAAGGTTACAGTCGTGGACACGCCGGGGCTGTTTGACACCAATTTCGAGGAGAAGAATGTTCTGAAGAAAATTGAAACATGCATCTCTTTGAGTGCTCCGGGTCCCCATGTCTTTCTGGTGGTCAAGAAGCTTGGAAGATTCACCAAGGAGGAGGAAGAAACCTTGAAGATAATTCTGAAGATGTTTGGTTCTGAGGCTGCCCAATATTCACTGCTGTTGTTCACACATGGAGACAAACTGAAGAAACAAACTATTGAGGAGTTTATTTCAAAGAGTTCAGCCCTTGAAGAGTTTGTGATGACTTTTTCCGGTAGATATCATGTCTTCAACAACGAAGTGGCAAGTGAGGAACAAGTCCGCCAGCTGCTGGAGAAAATTGATCAAATGGTTCAGGAGAATCACGGCAAACACTACACCAAATGGATGCTTAGGAGAGCAAAACAGGCCTCAAAGAGGAACGAACGAAGAGCTTTGGAGATGCAGAAGAAAAATGAGATGGAGAGAAGGAACACATTGAAGATGGAGGTGGATCAAGAGATGAGGGAATCGGGTCAAACGAAGAAACAAAACAAGTGTCGTGTGCAGTGAGAAACTCGTCTTGCTCTTTGGGAACAACACAGGGTGTAGTTCACCTCAGCTTCTTCACTGAAGTTTTTTTTCCTGAAATTGTGTTGTATTGTGTAAAAGATTCTCAATTTCATCAAGGTGTTATCTATTTTTGTTTTCTTTTGGGGGGAGGTGTTGAAAAAATGCATTATTGTCAATTATTATTTCCTTTAACTTGATATAAAAGGTTTTACAAGTCAATTTAACAGACTAAGATTGAAGTAAATGCAAACAGCACAGGATCGTGCTATACATTTAGCCCTCAATAATATGAAAGTTTAAGTAAATTCCTGTTTTAGTGTGTGAATTTAAATCAATATTACAAAATCATAACCACAGTACATCAGATATGTTTAGAAACTTACAGCAAAAACAGACTAACAGGACTTGGAACAATTTGGATTAGTGACCCCTTCATGTTGAAAGCAACATTTTTGAAGGATGATATTCCTTCACAGAATCCTCCACATATACTGTTATGTATCTTACTAATGTCATGTTTTCTGTTCTGTCGTTTCTATTTTAGACTTTTTAGTAATTTGTAAATGATTTTTCTTTTGTTATGTATAGCGTTGGAATCTTGTTAATTTAAAATATTTTTCCTGATTTCCGTCATGATCAAAGATCTCCTAGGTAAATATAAATAACCTTGTTTCTATATGAATTGCAAATGAATTACCTAAAAACATGTGATGATGCTTAATAAAGCTGAGTTTGATGAAAGCTGGAGAAAGCTAAACATATGCTGCACATTACCCCATGGAATATTTTACAGAATTAACTGTAATAAATTATTTGGTCTCCCAGAATACTGCTGAATGGCTCCATAATAATTTGAATACAGTCTTCATTGTTAAACCAGATTGAATATGGTGTGAACTCAGATCATGTAATTTGTTTTTGTAAATGATCCTTGTCAGAGGATATGCAATTAAAGACATATTTTTGACTGAAATGTTTTTCTGGTTTAAAAAAATAACTTTGGAAAGCATGAATTGCTTTTTAAAGTCAGTGCCAGGTGGGATAAAGGTGATCAGTAACTGCTGGCCACACCAATTTATAGCACAATCATAAATTGTGCAATAAATTTATGATTTATAGCATAAATCATAAATAGAAACTGAAGGTAACCTTAGTCACCTTCAGTCACTATAAAAATGCTTATCAAACATGTCTTAAAAAACGTTTCGACTTTTCAAGCTCAAACATTTTCCTAGAAAACTTCGAGGTTTTTGGCCAAAATTTTCATCTTTTTTTTCTACATACAATGTACGGAAGAGGATTAGGGCCATTGGGAAAAAAACAAAACAAACCAGTTTTGACTTTAAATTCTTTTTCTGACTTTCTACAATGGCCCTAACACGCCGTCATACTTTTTCTACATCCACGCGTTTGCATTCTACTTTAGTTTATTTTAGTCTTTATCACTTTTAGATAAAGAAAAAAAAAAGAATAAAGGTGCTCTATTCTGTCACCACGTGATCGGCGGCAGTCATATGACTCCCGGCACGCGGAAGCGCGCTTATTGCAGGGTTTTGTCCGGACTGACAGCATGGATCGGCGGGGGTTCTGGGCGCTTGCCTCCGCAGTGTGCCTCCTCTCCCTCACCGTGGGCTCTTCGTCCGGCCAGACCTACCCGCTGACTGATGAAGGCGGTCTGGGCAGAGTGTTTGACGGGATCGGAGGGCTGAGCGGCGGAGGGGTGAGTCCAGTGCTTATCTGCAGCTTCCTGGTTTGTTTTATTCTCGACCAGTTCGGCCGTTTGAGGTTCTTAATTTAATTCTTAATGTTTTTTTAGGCCACGTCCCGGTTACTTGTGAACTACGCTGAGCCGTACCGGAGCCAGATCCTGGACTACCTGTTTAAGGTGAGATTCAGAGGCTAAGCTGCAAGAATAATCAGCTGATTTGTCTACATAAACAAAGGAAACAAAGAAATCGTATAGCGGGTATGAATGTTAAACATAAAGTTTAATCAAATCTTCAGGAAGATTTTGTTTACTGTTATCAGAGCGATCATTTCCTGCTTCAAGTCCAGGTTGTTTATCTTAGGCTTTGCTGTAATAAATAGTGAGTTTGGAAAGGTGTTATATTATCCCATTTCCCCCCAATTCTTTTTTTTCAGAAGTAGTTTGTGTTTCTGCATCAACCAACCTTTAGTACATGTTTGGCACCTTCCGCAGTGGTTGACCCTCGAGGTAGAGATGAGCACAAGTAGGATCATTTTTAATTTAAAAAATAAACAAAACAAAGAAAAAACAGAATCCTGCTTTGAATTTAAGAACATTAATTCAATGGAGAAAAAAAGAGTTTTCTAATTGTGAGATTAGGCTACAGTAAAAAAAAAAAAATTACTGTAGCCTAATCTCACAGCTTTACTAAATTTAGTCAATCATTGAGCTCTGCATTTTATGACCGACATGTTGGTCTGCAGCAGCGTTGATTCACAACAAATGTCTTCAGGCACTTCACCAAAATATATTTCAATTTAGTCATGTATGCATTCCAGTTCATCCTTGTTATCAAACAGTGCAGTATGCTCAAATAGTTATTCATAATAGTTGAAAATGTGTCTGTCAAAGGAAGCCCAGTAGCATCGAGTCACCGATTTGCAGCGTTCTAGTCGGATTTGTTATTAAGAGTTGAAAGAATATTTAGCTTTCATAACGTTTTACAAACCAAATGGCATGCATGAGTGCAGAAAAAGAACAGTCCCTCTTAAACCACTCTGGACAAAATAAACATTGCTTAGGCTGATATGACATCTTTAGCCCTCCGCTTGTTTAGTTTTCTTATTCCTGAGAGATGTCATGTTTTCACCTGAAAGTTCTTTGACAGATAGCTTTTTGGAGGTAAAAACTCAAATTCTCTCCCTTATGAACTTTCTTTTGAGTAAAATAAATGGTCACTTTTCCATGTCATTTACTGTCTGTTTTGTTTCTGCAGCCAAACTTTGGAGCTTCTTTGCACATTCTGAAGGTGGAGATCGGAGGAGATGCTCAGACTACAGGTACCTTGTATAACGTTCACACGTCACACACTGAGTAATTTGTTGGAGTGACTGCGTGCAATTACGGTTTGTAATCATCAGATGGAACGGAGCCTTCACACATGCACTATGAGAATGATGAGAACTACTTCAGAGGCTACGAGTGGTGGCTGATGAAGGAGGCCAAGAAGAGGAACCCAAACATAACGCTCATAGGTGGGGAAGGGTTTCAGATGTACCAACCTGAGAACTGAAACAGACAAATTTATGACCCAGAAGTGACTCTATGAAGTGCAAAATGGTGTGTTACACACGGATAAACTCTGTGTTGGTACAGCGTTACCCTGGGCGTTCCCCGGCTGGGTCGGCCGTGGGAAGAACTGGCCTTATGACTTCCCAGATGTTACTGCAGCGTATGTGGTGAACTGGATTATAGGAGCCAAGAAATACCACGACTTGGACATTCAGTATATTGGGGTGAGTATTACTTATTAATACAGCACTGGTAGATATCCAATCATGGCTGAAAATGTTCTGATTTGGGTTTAATCCGTTTCTGTGTTGGACTGAAAAGCTTATGAAAATGTTTGTATGAGCAAATCAATCAAGTTTCAACCAATACTCACAGAATTGGTCTTTTTGGAAGATCAATTTGTTGGGAGATGATCAAGATTTAGGTCTTAATTATCAAGATAATGCTGATCTATCAAAATAAAAGTGATATTGAT